CTTGAGTAGACGGTGGGTGGAGTCCACGTATTTGTGGATTGTCAGCACGTCTTGACGGAAGAAATGTTTCACAATTCGCAAATGCACAGGACGCGATTCACAAATGCGAGCAGCTATCTACAAATGCACATGACGCGATTCACAAATAAATGCCAGGCAAAGTTGTGGTTGTGACATAAATATATATTTGTGAATTTTTTTTTTATTTGCAAATCTCATTTTATTTATTTGTGAATTTAATTCATGTTTGTGAAACTTTAAGATTTATTTGTGGATCTCATTCTATTTATTTGTCAATATGTTTAATTTTTGTTAATCTCTTTACATTTATTTGTGGATCATAATCTATTTATTTGGAATTAAGCAACAATTCTATCTCCATACTCAACACATGATACTGCAATCCAATTAAATTTTTCATGCACATTTTATAACAAACATTGCTTCAAAGTGGCTTTAGATAAAACAGTAAAATTAAATTAAAAAGATAAAAGGGAAAAAGTGTTGTTAATGACATTACAATGTTTAATGTGGTGAAATGATTTTTACTTACTTTGACATGGGCCGGTGGGCATGGCCATTGGTGTCTATCCCCAAAAGATGAAGGAAAAACACATTCTGTTCTTCATGTAACATATTCAGTAGAGTTTCATTGCTTTTAGCAACATTGAGAAAATCCTTAATAAAAAAAAATCATATTATCTTATTATTTATTACAAGATAATTTAAGGGTTTCAGACCTTATACTTTTTTGTAATTAAAAAAAATAAATAAAGTAATACTATATTTTGAGTAATGAAGTATTCAATTGATTAAAAGTGACAGTAAAGACATATAATGTTACAAAAGATTTCTATTTCAAATAAATACTGTTCTTTTGATCTTTCTATTCATCAAAGAATCTTGAAAAAATGTATCAGTGTTTCCACAAAAAATATTAAGCAGCACAACGGTTTACAACATTGATTAAAAATAAGAAATGTTTTATTAAAATGATTCATGTGACACTGAAGCCTGGAGTAATGGCTGCTGAAAACGTAACAAATTACATTTTAAAATACATTAAAATATCATTAATAATAATTTTTTTTAAATATATATATATATCACAGTATGACTGTTTTTACTGTATATGCGTGTGTGTGCGCAGTTTAATTAATATATAGTCACAAAAAAACATGCATATTTATTATCCAAGATTTAGGAAAGGATTTGGAAATTGTATTTAAAATAATTTTAGAAAAACATCAAGTTTAAACAACTGTTTATGATTTTTTGAATGGCAGACTTCTAAATGCTGGGCCACGCTTTAATATGTATCACAGACAGTGAATTGAAATCACAGTTGTGCTTTTTTTAAGTTAAGTTCATCAAAAGTGATTACGTAAAAGCCCATTAAGTATCCTACCTTCACTTCATCAAATACCCATGTATCAAGTCTGGATGCATCAGTGGAGGCGAAGTCCTCCCGCTCTGGAGGGTAAGTGTAAGTGTGCACATGGTCTCCAGTGGCTCCTACAAAACACACATGCTGGTAAAGCTATCAAATAAGGGCACTGTACTCTCATAGTTCTATTCATAGGTGTGGGGTTATACCTTTAGCAAACATCGGTAATATGTCAGGGCTTCCCCAACACCAGGTATGTCTGCTCTCATTAAAAACAGAATCAAACTCCACCGGATTCTCCTTCCAGCCTGTAAGCACAGGAATAAGAGACACATTGTTAAGTTTACAAATGTACGGGTTATACACAAACACACATGACTGCTGCTTACCCTTGGCAACAGCACTAACATCCTCATAAAAGCCCGCTATTAGAGCCACGTGACCTGGGCGTGATTCTGTAGGGACTCGCGTGTGAGACACTCCCCATGTGCCGCTCTCCTCAATCACACTCCTTATGACAAAAAACAATAAGGAGCACAAGTTAAATGTATTTATACACTATAAAGAACAAAATTTTGTTTTGTTTTGTTTGAGGCAAACATGCATAGCAGATAAGAATATTTGCTATGCTTATAAGTGTAATATTTTCTCGTTCACTCTACATATAATGCATTTTGGGATTTTTTTTTTTAGCAAAATCTAATTTCATATACGTCTATAAAATGTTGTATTAAATGATAGAAAGTTAAATTCCATTACATTGAAATAATGTTGGGATTTTCTGTTTATAATATGAATTTAAATGCCATTTTATGGAATCCATATAAAAACACTAAAGTCTTCTTGGTTCTACAGGATCATAAAATTAAAAAGTCTAGACTGTCAGTTAAATCGGTCAGATTTGCTGTACCATAATAGTAAGTGGTAGTCTATTCAGCTGTGTTCTTTGAGATTAAAGCACGATAGTATAACAAAAGTATCCAACTTGTGTTTATAAGTGTAATGTTTTCTGAATCTTTCTATCTGCAGTCATGAAGGACAGTGAATATTTTGAAGAATAAGCATTTAATCAGTAAAATAAGCTACTGAATTTTCTGGACCACATTCGTGAACAGGACAAGCACATGCATGACAAGATTATTCCACGTTCATCACCTTAGGTAAGGAGCCCTGCCTGTCCCATTGTCGTCTGGCTTAAAGAGACTGTCGGCTCTCAGACCATCTGCCACAAAGAGCACCAGGCGCTTGGCCGGAGGAGCCAGAGGGACATGCTGTGGTGTCATTCCATGGACAAGAGGGGATGTGAAATAGATGTCAAATATTGAGAGAAAGAAGACTACGTGGACAATGAGTCCCACGATGAAGAATATCATCATCTTCATCTTCTCTGCTATCAGACCTTTAGCACCGATTTAGGAAAAAAAAGAAAGACAAGAGAAAAGATGGACATTTGAAATGCATTGTTATATTTAAAAGTATTTTGTGTGACATGACATATTAACATGACTACATTCAAAAGGGCTAAATAATCCATAGCCATCTCAGAAGTAACACTTGCTAATATTTTAACAATAGTATGAGTGAATAAAAACAGTTTTACCTTTTTGCTAAAGTCGCTTAACCTATCAGTACACCAGTCCTGTCAATGAAAGCACCCGACAGAGCGTGAGTGACCGTGAGGCTGCGAGAACACAGCCTCTAAACAAAACGCCTCGTTCACTCAGGCTTTTCATCTGTGTTAGCGTACTGTTATATGTCTGGCGAACAACTTGGCTTTTGACCTACTAAACCAAATAGTTTGTAAGTAGATTAACTGAGAACTTTTTTTCACTTCCTTGTATTAGTAACCTTTGAACTGGAAATCATGCAATGTATTTTGGGAAATGTAGTTTACGCCCGGTGAGTTTTTCCCCCCTTCAGGAAAACATATACCTCTTTAAGAATGTTTTTTTTAAGTGATAGAAAATCTAAATTTAATTAGTGTAAAATAATGTCAGTGATTTTCCGACTATGAAATTAATAAAAAATGTGATTATACATTTTTATGTAAGCCACAAAATAAAAAGTCTCCTAATTTTTACAAGGAGCATACATTTAAAAAGTCCAAATTGCACTTTAAATTTTGATATGCTGTAATGATATTCTCATTGTGGCCTTTTTCCTTCACATTTGCAAATTTTATTTGTCCCATAATAGTAAATGGTAGTCTAAAATAATGATAAATTGTAGTCTTTCCGGCCATGTATTTTATTTTTTTTATTAAAACGATATTCAATCAAACAAACAAGTAAATAAATAAATAGATAAATGTGATACTGTACAAACATTAAAACAAACATTAAAGAGCATCAACAGATAAGTTCAAATGTAGCAAACGAGAGAGAAAAAGCATAACCCTACATAAAATAAACGTAATCGTAGAAACGTAAAAGGTAAACATAATAAAAAAAATATATATATATATATAAATAAAATAACTGATTTAAAAAATATATACGTAAATAAACAATCAATTCATGAATAAATGGAAACACAAATAAGCAGAGGAAAGCGAATTTATCAACAACAAGTACAGTCGAGTTACTTTGAGACTTTTATTTTGACACCAATATAATTTCTCAGGAACGCGTTTGGTCGCTAGCTTCACTCAGGTCGGAGAGTTGGTCAGTAAAGAAATACAGCAAGGGCTTTGTAATTGATTGCTAAATGCAGCTTTTAAATTTTACATAAACTAAACGCTTGAGCTGTTATCTAGTATTTTAAATCTCGTAAATTGCAAGTGGTATTTAACATACTTCGTTATAGTTCATCCGGACATAAAACCCGACTCTAGCCATGGCTGGCAGTAGCACAGCGATGAAAACATGGGAGCTGTCAAACAGCATGCAGGAAGTTCAGAGTATTGATGAAATATATAAGTATGATAAAAAGCAACAACAAGAAATTCTGGCAGCCAAACCGTGGACTAAAGAGTGAGTGTTCCACACCACGCGAATGTATTCCTCTTCAAGGGCCCTGAATTGTTTTCGAATGATCAGTATCTGTTGTCCATACTGCTTTTGTTGTTTACAGCCATCATTATTTTAAATACTGCAAGATATCAGCTTTGGCACTGCTGAAGATGGTGATGCATGCCCGATCTGGAGGAAACCTAGAGGTGATGGGACTTATGCTGGGGAAGGTGGATGGAGAGACCATGATCATCATGGACAGTTTCGCTCTACCCGTGGAGGGCACTGAAACGCGGGTCAATGCTCAGGCTGCAGCCTATGAATACATGGCTGCTTATATAGAGAATGCTAAACAGGTACACTGACTATTCGTTTTCTAAAATTCCTATTAGGCAAATAATAAAAACAAAGCCACACTTCGTTTCTAAATATAAAGCAGGTACATTGTGTATGCTGAATCTTGGGGTTTTCTGTGACTATACTCGTGTTAGTTGAGTGACTACATGGAATATGTGCACATCTAAAATTGTCACATTACAATACCATTTAAAATAAATCATTAAAGGCTCAAGTGTGATTAAAAATATGAAGAATATTACAATAAAAAGTGACTAGTTACAGGAATTAAAATATACATGTATTGTGTATGCTGAATCATATGCTATACTCATCTAATAAAATTTTACTAATACTTTTATAGTTGTTACGCATTCCGTTTTCATGATCTAAAATTAATTGAGAGACTATATGGAATATTTGCTCTTTAAAAGATATTTATCACTTAAGACCATTTAAAATGAATTAATGAAGGCAAAAATGTGATTTAAAAATAGTACAAATCTTAAAATAAATGGTGAAGAATCACAGGAACTAAAATATACATGTATTGTGTATGCTGAATCTTGGTTTCATATGCTCTACTCATCTAAAAATATTTCACTAATACTTTTATAATTATTATGCATTCATTTTTCATGATGTAATATTATTTGAGAGACTACATGGAATATTTGCATTTTTAAAAATGTATTTCTCACATCAAAAGACCATTTAACATGAATTAATGAAGGCAAACATGTCATTTAAAATGAGTAAAAATCTTTAAATAAATAGAGAATAGTCACAGAAACTAAAATATACACTTTATACTTTCAGTGAAATATATGCATTAACTTCCCATGAATGTCATGGCCAGCATATGATGAAATATTAGTAATTCTGAGGCTCATCATTTCTGAATTCATTTAGGTGGGGCGGTTGGAGAATGCGATTGGATGGTACCACAGTCATCCTGGATACGGCTGCTGGCTTTCAGGCATAGATGTCAGCACTCAGATGCTTAACCAGCAGTTTCAAGAGCCCTTTGTCGCAGTAGTGGTAAGTGCTGTTGAAAATGTTAAACTGTCCTGTAAAAGTCCTCTCTAAACCCTGTTACCATCAATCTCTAAAGACAGATGGGGAAAATAGCTCAGCTTCGAAATTGTTAAGGTATCAACTTAAATTAAGTAATATCAGTGATCCATAATTGACCCCTAAAATACAAATGAGTTTGGTGACATTTGTAGTGGTGTTTGATTAATGGCTGTTGACTTTGTAACTGAATACATTATACAGTTTACCTTTCATTGCTTTTGCTTATTTTGTGCTGAGTGCAAATAGCGACCTGGTGCTCATAACTTTCACTTGCTGAACTGGCAGCTCAGTGTTTTTATTTGTTATATTTGAACTGTTTTGCTTATTACAGTCCTTGTAATTTTTTATCCTTTTCAGATTGATCCCACAAGAACTATATCCGCAGGGAAGGTCAATCTTGGAGCGTTCAGGACATATCCGAAGGTAGGAAAAATGTTTTAGTAAATAGTTTTTTTGTAACCGTCTAGTATTTCATATTTATGTGTCTATTCATTTATATGAGTGTGATAAGATTTTTCATCACATATTTACATTTTAATGCTAGGGTTACAAGCCTCCAGATGAGGGTCCATCTGAATACCAAACAATACCGCTTAACAAGATTGAGGACTTTGGAGTGCACTGCAAACAGTAAGCTTTTTTTCTACACTTATTTCTTCTTGGAAATTGATTTAATTTTATTGACTTGGCTTGAAAATATTGGAAATGTACAATAAACCGTTTTCTGCTTTTAGGTATTATGCTTTAGAAGTGTCTTATTTTAAGTCTTCCCTGGACCGCAAACTCCTAGAGCTGTTGTGGAATAAGTATTGGGTCAACACTTTGAGCTCCTCCAGCCTTCTGACAGTAAGTACTGTCATTTATTGGTGTGAAATGATTGTATTTCATATAGCAATATGTGCATAAATCTTCAGTAATTTTCGATTTATATAATTCTTGTGCTTTGCTGAAAATACTTAATACCTAATTTGGTGTTCCTGGACAAAAATAACCGGCCTTAAAAATTTGCTAGTAAATCTCTCATTATCCTGTTAGCACTAGTTTTGTATTTCTTTTTGGAACTGACTGATCATAGGCCTTGATCTGAGCTTATGCACCTAGATATATATTGTGTATATTGTATTTGCTGAATCTTTTGGATTTTCTGTGCTATACTCATCTAAAAATATTTTACTAATTGTTTTATAATTATACTGCATTCAGGTTTCATGGTCTTATGTTAATTGAGAGACTACATGGAATATTTGCACTTTTAAAAAATTGATTGAAAACCGTTTTTGAGTGAAATAAGCATTATTTATGGATCATTTTGACAATATGCATTCACTTCGGTCAATGAAGCCTACGATTGGTCAGTTCTGAAAAGAAATACAAAACCTGTTCTAATCAAAAGAAAACAAGTTGATTATGTATTGAATTCAATATTTGGTCATAATTTAGCATAATGAGATCGTAATAAGCAATTTTATATCGGCCTGTGATTTTTGACTGGGGACACCACAAGTGTAACAAGGTGGGGGAAAATTATCGAAATATTATCCAAAAACACTATACGAGCAAAGTCAGTAAGTTTTAACATTAACTAGCATTTTTGGGAAATGACCCGAACACACCTTGAGGGCTAATGAAAGTATAACATTTATTGTTTATATTAATATTTGTCATTTTATTGATGTCTCTAAATCTTCTCTCTTGTTTATATTAAAAAATACTACAGTTATTATCTTTATCATGCTGAAAATGTTTTAGATTCTGAAGGATACAAGTATTTTATGTGCAGAAGATGGATAATATGACAGGGGTTTGTTGACAACTTGTGCACATGATTAATATTTGTAGATGCTGCTTTTGTTTCCCTACCAATTTGTTTTGAAAGCTTGTCATTGTTGACTATGGCATTCTGTCATGAGCTTTGTTTAGCACTATCTAAACAGCAGCCTCAGAGCTCTGTGTTAGAGATAAATTGACTACTTGTCAAAAGCGTACTTGTCAAAAAAGTGTGGTCAGTGATTACTGTCACCACAGACCGAGACCTTAAGTCACTGAGTCTGTCTTTATTATGAATCCTCGTCTGGGCAGTGTACAACCTCACCTTCTGCAAAATTTTGAGACCTCATTCAGGAGGCTTCAGCAAACAATTCAACAATCTACTGAATTAACCATCAGTGGAATGCATGTTGTGAAGGTTTAAGTATTGTTGTGAAATTGTGCATTAACCTAGAGCAAGTGAAATGGTGGTGTTAATGGCTCTTATTGCGTCAGAATGCAGACTACACCACTGGACAGGTGTTTGACTTGTCTGAGAAGCTCGAGCAGGCAGAAGCTCAGCTGGGACGTGGCAGTTTCATGCTGGGCTTAGACACACATGATAGGAAATCTGAGGACAAACTAGCAAAGGCAACACGAGACAGGTAATACAATATCCCTATCAATTCACTATTACATTTTCCCTTTCTTAATATATTATCAATTATGGATAATTGGAAATAAACAAACCAGCCAATAGACAATAACAGTTCTAAATAAAATTATAAGTAGGTCCTACAACATATCAACCAGGTTATTTTTTGTTTTAATTAAGAACATTTTAAGGATGTTAATTTTGTTTCAGACATTTGAGTAAATATAATAATTAAATGCATAAAGCTACATGAAAAAAATGTAAAACAATGTTTCTTTTCCCATTATTTTTAATTTAAAAATATATATATATGACAGGAGGGTAAATTTGTATCATTTTAGTATTGAGAATAGAATATTGATTTCATATTTATTTTGTGTGAGGTAATATGTGTTTTCCGTTTTTTGCTTGAATACATTTTTTTAAAAGGTTGTTGTTTTAGACTTTTGGAATTAATATAAAATCAACTTTATAAAGCTGGATAAAAATAGATGACTTTTTTTTATTTTTTTTATAAAAGATTATGTATTTATTTGAGTTTAATTGATTCATTGATTGATTAATTGGGCGTAAATTTGTTTCTTTTGGGTATTGAGAATAGAATACTGACTTCACATTATTATTTATAAAAGATTATTTATTTATTTATTTTATTTAACATTTATTTATATTTATTTTGTGAGAGCTCATAGGTGACTTGAGTGTCTGTTTAGGTGCAAGAGACCCCACTTTTTGACTTGTAATGTATTGCAACTAATTAACACATTTTTATAAAAACATGATCAAACATCTTTCTTTGTTTTTCAGCTGCAAGACAACCATTGAAGCAATTCATGGTTTGATGTCCCAAGTTATCAAAGATAAACTCTTCAATCAAGTGAACACATCTGCCAACTGAACATGGAAGGAACTGAAGTTAGATGACTTCACATGCAGTGTTTGCTTAGTTATGTGTTCTTTCGTTACGATTCTGCTTTGAAAGATTCAAAGGAATTCTCCTGTAGGAATGTTTGCATCATTTATCATTTGTTTAAACAAAGAAATAAATGCTGTTTGGGTTCATTAGTTGACAGACATCAGGTCTTTTGCTTCTTTTCTTAAACTTCATTTTTTTAATTTGTCCTCAAAATATTGCATCCCGTTTACTGCTAAAGTCTTGTCTGAAATTATAACTCACACAGCTCATCGTCAAAGCTGTCCTTTAGATCAAGACAAATTAGTTTTCCTTTGCGCTGTATGTTAGCAGATGTTTGAAATGTATTCTCCTCTGGGTTCAGTGTGTAACACGGTACCGCTCCATTCCCATTTCCCACAGCTTGTGTCAGGAGCTGTAACAGCAGTATTCAACATTAAACTTAACAAAAACCACAGTGCTCCACAAGAGGTCATTTTCATATTTGCCAGTCATAGCATTACATAATGGAATAACAAACTCAGCAGCCCAAAGATAAACATAGCCTGGCATGGCCGCAGCGCATCTGTCAGGACGACCCTGTGCAGGTTGTCTCTGTGTTGTACACAATCCTTCAGTATTCTGAGCGTAACACTGTGGCCTGTCACTGATGCATCACAGAAGCGGGAGCTCGATACAGTGGAGTCTATTCAGCTCTGCGTGTCTGCTCTTTATCGCTGCAGACACTCAACGCCCGTGTGGTTTCATGCACACACACATGCTTGCATTTTCTTACAGACAACAGTGCTGACTTCGTATTTATGCACTTTTTTGTACCCCACATCATTGTGCCAATTTTAAGATTTGCTGTTATGTTCCGGAAAGCATCAGTCTGTTCAATTATGCCTTGTGCAATTTGTGGATTTTGGCCTGAAGTTGTAAGTATATATTTTTTGCTCTTGCAATGGCGACCAATGTTTTATTCCATAGAGGATAAAATTAATTAAAGGAATAGTTCAGCCAAAAATGAAAATTTGTTGAAAATGTATTCATCATTAGGCCATCCAAAACGCAGATGAGTTTGTTTGTTCATAAGAAATAGATTTGGAGAAATGCAGCATTACAACACTTGCTCACCAATGGATGTTCTGCAGTGAATGGGTGCCGTCAGAATGACAGTTTAACAGCTGATTAAAAACATCATAGTAATCCACAAGACTCCAGTCCGTCAATTAATGCATTTAGGCCAGCAGAAACGGTTAAAATGCGTGAATGATGTATTTGTTTCTTAAAACACGCAGCTTTCCACTTCAGAAGATGTTATTGATGGACTTTAGTCTTGTGAATTACTGGGGGATTATTATGATGTTTTCATCAGCTGTAACTCATTCTGACACCAACCATACACTGCAGGAGGATCCATTGGTGAACAAGGAATGTAATGTAAATTTCTCTAAATCTGTTCAGATGAAGAAACTAACTCACGTATCTCTTCGATGGCCTGAGAGTGAGTACATTTTTAGCTAAATTTCATTTTTCCGTGAATTATTCCTGTAAAATTATCAAAAATCCCCCATGCTCTGTATTTCACCCATTGGAATTACAAATGAAGCTTATAATCATCACCAGATGAGCATTTTTAAAGAAGAAAAAAGCAGATGAGTATAAATGAGATGAGATATAACTAGCCTAAGTATATTATGTTTTCCATGAATGATATCAGCCAAATCCATTAACTTAATTTTAAGGTATGTTTTCTATTAGCAAGAGTCTTCTTAAATTACTTGGAATTCCACTTCATTTGCTGAACCCAGAGAAAATGTTTTAAAATAATAGGAATTATGATAGATATGTGATTAAGAGAATATATCCAAGTGATGAGCACAAATAATCAGCAGTGACTATTGATCACAAGGCTAATGTTAAACTAGCCTTTGGGACCAGTGACCTCCAGATATTTGGTAGCACTGATGTTTTCTTTGGACCATATAATAATAATCTCAACAAGCATGGTAGTAAGCATGTTCAGTGCCCCATGAGAGTCTGAAAAGGGCTGAACTCCCCCTCTATGTTCCTAAACCAACCAAAGCAACATTTCCTTTCTACCAAGTATTCTGCATACATAAATGGAGGCAAGTCACTCAGCCTCAGGAAGCGCATTCCTCCACCATATATAACAATACCCAGCCCACCGCACTTCTCTAGAACTGATATGCATTATTAGGGACAGCGGTTTGAGCTTGAAATGAGAGAGGGGAAATTTTAAGTTCTTCCAGCTGAAGCTGATAAACATGGTTTCTGATTTCAACATGTAAATGCTTAAGGGTCTTGTCTACTTTAAGCCTCAAGGGTGGCCCTAGTTTTTGGTTTAAATCTAGTTTTTCTTTTTCAACAATTGTGTTTCTCTCTAATCCTCTGCACACATGTATTTTAGTGTGTAATATAATCTCTTCACACACACACACACACACACACACATATATATATATATATATATATATATATATATATACAATGCTGTGAAAAGATTTTTGCCCCTTCCCCTTAATAAAATAAATAATCATTTAAAAACTGCATTTTGTATTTACTTGCATTATCTTGTGTAATATTAAAATTAGTTTGATGATCTGAATCTTTTAAGTGTGACAAATATGCAAAAAAAAAACAGGAAGGGGGCAAAAACTTTCTCACAGCACCGTGTGTATATACATATCCCCTTCAGCCAAATAAGGAATGTTAAACAAAACTGTTTTTAAAAAAAATTTTAATCAAATTTGCGTAGGTTTAAGATCAAAATCATAGACTTCGACCGTTCATTTGTCTTCTTCCTTTAATTAATAAGTTAATTACATCTTAAATTACTTGTAACAAAAACCTGCGCTAGCTTGAATTAATTACTAAAGCCAAATAACTTTTAACAACATCAGTAAAAAATATTCTTTAACATTTTCTATTATTCACAACAATACATGCGATATACAGCGTGTTCTAAAATTTACACAGAATTTAAAACAATTCAAAACGTCTCACCATTTGTGTTGAGAATGTGTCATGCCGCATTTGAACTGCGCATCGAAACAACTCTGGCGCGTGCAAGCTGACCTTGCGCTCGCGTCTCGTCGCCATGGCAACATCAGCTCTCGCTTCCTAAACAAAGCTAAGACAAGACGCAAAAGAGACTTTACAGCAGCAAAACACTTTGCGTTTATAGCTGACGACAGTTCATGCATAACATTTGTGCATTAAGGTGAGATGCAGTGCAGTTTCATTTTATTTCTACTGTATTAGCTGTTCATACAGTATGTGCATTTTCTGTTTGCGTTTATAATTGTATGCCAACAGTGGCCTAAGTTGCTTGTCTTTGTTTATTGGTAATAAGAGTGTAAATTTGCAATATATTGTTAAATATATGGCAATATATTATAATGATTGGCAAACTGCTGTCTCCATCCAGGTCCCTGGAGTTTAACCACAGAAAGTTATTGATTTTAAGAAGCTCTCCATGTCATCTCCCCATAGTCTGCTGCTCTGAGATCAAGTGTAAAACCGACCTGCTGTCATGTGTTGATGTATGTATTCCCTTTACTTCTGTCCTAGTATTCAACGTCTGTGGTCGACAAGACAATATAGAGAGAAGACTCAGCATATGGAGTAAAATATCATCCGAGGTCTTTTTCAAGGAGGTCTTGTTACTGTAGGTCTGGCTTTATATAACGTTACTGTTTTTATATAATACAGCATGCAGATGTGCAGGGTCAAGCTTACTTTATGATAATCTCACTTTATGATAATCTTAGGTCATGTCACATGTCTATTTCACCTTTGGCCTCGTTCCCGCTATTCAAAAAAAAGGTTTAAGGGACTATGTCGTCTCTAAAGTAGATATCATCAAAGAAATAATGGTTACCACATCAATTATACCTTTAAACCCCGTTTAAACACATTCTAACCCTGATTAAAATCGATATAGAAACGTATTTAGAGGTCAATGCTCTAAAATGTATTCGATCATAAGTTCTTGCATTGTTTTTAGTGTTTTTGGCTTTCTCATAAATCTCCGTCTTCCCTTGACACGCTGTGCTGCAGAAGAGAAATCTATCCTGTGATATTTTTGCACACTGAGTCGTTATGGTCCGTCTAACAGTGCATCTGATCGCAAAATCAAGCAATTACTCAAAAACCTGCAGAAGTGAATCTCTCCAGCAGTATCTGAAGAAACTGACCCATCTCAACTTCTCAAACAGAAGTATAGAGGAAATTGTAAGTTTTGAGTTCATATATATCAAAATTCTATTTAATATTCTAGTTTCCATTAAATTAAATATTACAGTACCATTCAAATGTTTGAGGCCAATAAGATTTGTGATGCTTTTTTAAAGATGCTTTTATTCAGCATAGATGCATTAAATTGATCAAAAGTGACAGTAAAAAAAAAAATATTCATCAAAAACTCTTAAAAATGTATCACAGATTCACAAAAAAATACACACACACACACACACACATATATATATATATATATATATATTAAGCACCACAACTTTATAACATTGATAATAATAGGATTTTTTTTTCTTGAGCACTGAATCAGCATATTAGAATGATATCCGAAGGATCATGTGACACTGAAGACTGGAGTAATGACTGCTGAAAATTTAGCTTTGCTCTCACAGGAATACATTACATTTCAAAATACAGTATATTAAAACAGAAAACAGTAGCCTAATTTTAAATTGTAATAATATTTCACAATATTACTTTTTTTTAATACCATCATGTTTTGTACATTATTCTTTGGGATGCAAAGATACATACATTAGGTAATATTATTCATTAAACATAATAAGAATATTGAATAGATTTAATTTTTTTTCCGGTTACATTAGGTAAGAGCAAAATCTCAAAGTGAGATTTTATGTCAATGAAAATGCCTGTGAAAGTGTAGACTACTACATTACATTTTCTGTTTTTAAGGTTTGATGCTGCTTTGTAGTTATTTGTTAATTACGTCATCAAACATACTTTTTGATTGTTTTGGGTATTTTTCATGTTTTTATATTTTTTCATATTTATTATATTTCTCTGTTCAAGTATGGAGTATTTTAACAAATTAACGCTCCAATCTCACTGCATCATGCTCACAATTCCTGCGTATAATATACTAATATCTACACCAGGGTATAACCTCTGAAAGATGTAGAGTAATTAGACAGAGAAGCTTACTTAACCTCATTTGCTTTGCTTCATAATTATTGGCCTGGGGGCAATACTGTTACTTCATCCTTACAAAAACAATGTTTATTAAGAACAGTCTCAGATATACATGTTATGAATAATTCCATTCATTAATTCTCCCACATCTCCGTTTGCGGCAAACAGAGTGATTAATTTAGGAGTCTCACAAGAATTTCCTCAAGCATGCCAGTTGATTGCAGTGTTTAGAGTTTATTTATTGGCTTTGTCCCAGGAAATGAAGCTGATGTCTGCGGCTCAAAATTATAATATCAATATCCCTTTTAAAATGTTAAAGAAGAGTTAAATTGTCTGTTTGGCAGCTTGAAAATTATATTGTTGAATGCTTGGGTCTCACAAACCACATACATTTTCATCAAACAAAGCAAATCAATGGGAATAAAGTATTTATTTCTTGAATAAACAATATTTCATATAATATTCAGAAGCTGTGGTTTGCAAAACAACTTTGGGTGGACCAAAAAATGCTGCCTCTGGCGTCGGAAAATGGACTGTGCCCTCATACCGACCGATGCGAAGGGAAACAGCAGAGAACGGCTCGAGTTGCCAGAGTTTTAAAGGCTTTTGATTAATTGCACCGGAGTGAAACACTTGTCAGCTCTTTGTGTTCCCCGATAAATTAGAGGCTCAGGAGACTTTACGCAGTCATTCAGGTGAGGACGCTGAGTGTGCGCGGACATATATCCGTACCTTTCACGCGCAGCACCACGACTGGTTATATATATTTTTGCAACGAGAGGGACTATTATTTTAAACAGAATTTTTACCGAGCTGTGGAGCTTTTCATGCCTAGATGTGTTTTTAGGACAACGCTTTTAACAACAATAACACAGGTATGTTTTTTACATTTTAATAACTTCTCATAACAATGCAATCTACAATTATACTTAAAATGGTTGTATTAAAACGGCATGTTCTTGGCAGAAATAATTTAGCCTAATGACAATCATAAACACTGTAGGCGTCAATTATTTATTGTTTTGACATTGACTCATACTGGCCATGAGATTTTTGGCTCACTTGAGGAAAATGTTTTTACAAAAGTTTTGATGAGTGCATAGGCTTAAACCTGTTTTTGACAAGTTTTTCTCAAATACTGAAATAAAAGTGCATTTTTGGCTATTTAAGTGTGTGTGTTTTTTTTTGTTGTTGAAAATGTACTGTTTTAACCAGGTTAAGAAGTGATTTCAATGGTTGGAAGACAGTCGATCCATATGGATGGCATTGGTTCTGTGACAGTTATGGATGACAGTCCCGCATCAAGCCCTAACTCGAGCCCCAGTCCTGACACGCTCTCAGCGGACAGCAGGCGCATAGAAGCCCTGTCCCACTCCACGGTGGTCCCGTCTAGTGGCCTCGGTGGCAGAGGAAGACCTGCGGCAGCCAACGCAGCGCGCGAAAGGAGTCGCGTGCAGACGCTCAGACATGCGTTCCTCGAGCTACAGAGAACATTACCGTCGGTGCCCCCGGACACCAAACTCTCCAAACTCGACGTCTTGATATTGGCAACCACATACATAGCGCATTTAACAAGAACCTTGCAAGAGGAAGGGACGGAGGAGGACAACACAAAACAAACTGAAGCTTTGAACTCACTTAAGGGAGATGGCTACTTGCATCCTGTGAAAGTAAGTCGAATTATATTTTAGCATGAAATAGAAGCCGAAAATATTGCAAATGTGAGTTTTTTTAAATATTTTAATTCCTTTAAAACATTTGTATTTAGTCTTTAATAGTTTTGATTAGGAGACTTTAAGGTTAAGGTTTAGTCTGCTTGAAAATATCCACTTTACGCGTGACAATTCATTTTTTAAAAAGAGTTGATTAAGTGTTTCTATTAATCGCTTTTGTCTTTCAGAAATGGCCAATGCGTTCAAGATTATATATCGGTGCCACTGGCCAGTTCCTGGGGAACTCGAGTGAAAATCAAGGGGCATCTTCGTCATCATCTCAAACATAGAGCGTTTGCACAATGATTAAAAAATGAAGGTAAAAAAATAGAGTCGTTGTTTTAGTAATTTTGTTGCCGTCTGTAAAATTTAACAAAGTTGTTTTACGCGGCAAATTCATTGAAATGATTATCATTATTGTGCCATATGACAACTGAGTATTGTGCATATTAATATATCCAAATTATTTCAAATATGTAAATAAGATTAAAATATTAAACAAATTGTGTTCTTTTTAACTGTGGGTTTCTGCAGTTCTGTACTTGTACTTTGTCTGAAGTTCCATGTGTTGGGTTAATGAGCTGTTATGCTTGAGCTGTCGGCTATGCACTTTCTGTTACAACTTTTGCACTAAATGCATGTGTGAATAACCTAACATTCGTCATGTGAAGTGGTCTGTCAGAATCGCAACAATAGCATCATCACCCCCTTTTCTCCTCCCTTCCCTCCTTCACGTGGAATAGTAAATAAAATCATTCTTAAAAATTACACTGATCTCAAGTTTATTATTAATGTTATTATTATCGATGCTTTTCTAAACCCTTCATAATGTGCAATAGGTGTAATGTGTTCCCATCATAAACTTTATAATTAAAATAGGCCTATTTGACATGCACTGAACATTTTTAATATCGAAGATTTTAATTCATTTTTAATTATTGTCTTAATTTACAGTTCTAATATATCTCATGTGATGGCAGCATGCTGTGAATTTGCTCATGGAAACATTTAAAAACCTTTAAAACTCTTAATCAGGATGTCACTGAAAGTCTGTGGGAAGTACTGAATAATGTCAACTCTGTAAAGCCTTTTAAACCCTCTAAAGAGGTTTAAAAGTGTAGGCTTTAGATTTAAACTTTATATACCAGAGCATATTGATCTAAATAGGCTAATATGTGACTAAATGGATCATCTTTATCTATTTATTTAAATGTTTCTCTCTCTCTGTTTACTGTAATGTTTACTTTGAACTAAATATGCTTGAGAGAGGCAAACTATTTGGATAGGATTATTAAATGCACGGGTTTGGACTTTTTTTAGACGTTTAAGTTTCGTAATTTCATAAGCTTTTTCATTAATTGAAAACTGTTGGGAGCGCTCTAAATATAAACAAAAAAAAAACAAACTACTCTCTTGATAGTGCTTTAAATATAAACGTGTCATAAACGTATGCAAGATTTAAGCACTTCCAGCCAACTGTAAATGTTTTATCACACTTGACTATAGCACATCAAGACGTCAGTAAAACCCAACACGCATGCGCTGTTCCTACTAGGAAGTTCCCCTTTAAAACGCGAAGCACGCATGCGCCACATCCTTTCTTCCCAAGTGCGGAAAGAGCTGGTCACACATTTTACACGTTGCAGTGTAACTTGAGGTAAATGTACTTCGATTAATTATTGTGTTGATGTATTTTAACAGAAGTGAAAGTATTATTGCAGATATTGGTAGAACTGTTCACGAGGTTATAGGCTCGTGTAGAGGTTTTTGCATCCTGGCTTTGCCACGTGGTTAGTCAGCACGCGCGAGAATAATTTATAAAATACTTGCTTGCTACATCGTTCCGTAGAAGCACAATTAGTCTTTATTAACTGGAATTTGAAGCATTATCGTGAATCGTTAGGAACGAGTTGCTCTATATAACATGAGTGGCATAATGAGGTTCCTTGCATTAAGTTACCAAGAGGGGAAAAAAGTGAATTTTACTTCCAAGTTCTCCTTTTCGAAATGGGATACTTCCTAAAAGTTCGGTTAATTTTATACACTAGTTTTAGTTTCTCGTGTAGATTTATTAATGAGCATTTTTGCAATTATGTGGCGAAGAGACCTTGAATTACTCTTAATTTTGAACCCATAGTGGATACAGAAGTTTTGAAAGAATGTTTTAAATTCATTCTGGGAGTGTATGATCAATATTGTAAAGGTCACTGTTTCTACACAAATTGACATGATTTTGCCAAATCGTGTTGTAATCATGACCTATCCTAAAAAAGGATTGAAGTATCCCATGAGGACTGCTATAAATCATTTTGGCAGGGGGTGTCCCAGATCTGGTGATAAATTGCTCCTTTGGCATTTGCTCTGCTGTAGGCAGGACTGTGCTCTGTCCGGCATAGGTCTGCTGTCCCCTGTGTGGCCTGGCTGGTTTGGGAATGGTCTTCTATGACCTGGATTTGATAATCAGGGTTTTGACTCACTGGAGATGCTGTGGTCTTGGTAAAGGTCCTGACCTTGAGTTGAACTAGAGCTGCCCAGGCCTTTGTGCTGCTGTGGGAGGGTCTACTCTCAAGCTGTGTTACATGTGACTTTTGACCTCTAGTTCATCAGTCATCTTTGAGTTTTTCGTTTACTGGCTCTTCCCTCAGCTTATTTGAAGCACAAAATCAATAGCTGAAACACAACATGGGTAATGGGTCATCTTTTTAGAATTGTCTATTCCTTTTGTCGTTTCTTTTCTTGGAAGATTTTAGCTGCGAAGCAGAGCTGATATTAAATATATATTTTTTGTTGTTGTTGAATCCCAAAGGAGCCAGATGAAGATGGCTACAGCTAGTGGAAGGGATCATAATATTTGCCACTGGACATGGGAGACATGAGAAGTACTGATGAAAAAAAATGGTAATTTTAAAATATATGTATAATAATAGCTTTCAATGTAATGTTTGTTGCTATGATGAATGTCACGTTTGCCGTTTACCCATCATACCAAATTGGGTTGCTGACACTGACTGTCTGAAGCAACAGCACAGTTGACTATCCAGTAGCCTGTTTGAGATTTTGCCAGCATTAAATTTATCCTTCTGTTTTTCCCACTAGGTCTTAGGATTACCACTAGAAAAAGGGGGCCCTGAGAAGTGCAGATGAAGACCGGTAACTATATATTATACACACTGTAATGGCTTTAAATGCTAGTTTGTAATGTCAAAGTTAAGCCATTTTATTTTATTTCCTTAAGTGATAATTGTGTGGTTTTGATAAATCCTTGTTGCCATGATGAGTCACATTTTTGCCGTTTACCCATCAGACCAAATTGGGTTGTTGACACTGACTGTCTGAAGCAACTGCACAGTTGATTACCCTGTACCCCGGTTGCGATTTCACCAGCATTAAATTGATTTTTATTTTTTATTTTCCCCCCTCACACCAGGTCCAGGGATTGCCACTGGAAAAGGGTGACATGAGAGGAGCAGATGAATAATAACTGGTAATTTAATGTGTTCTTATTGTAATTGCTTTAAATGTGAGGTTTTTAATTGTTTGCAGTTTAGTTTTTTTTTTTAAGTGCCAAGTATATTTGAGGCAAAATGCTTGTTGCTATGATGAATGTCACATTTTTGCCGTTTACCCATCAGACCAAATTGGGTTGCTGACATTGACTGTCTGAAGCAACAGCACAGTTGACTATCCAGTAGCCTGTTTGAGATTTTGCCAGCATTAAATTTATCCTTCTGTTTTTCCCACTAGGTCTTAGGATTACCACTAGAAAAAGGGGGCCCTGAGAAGTGCAGATGAAGACTGGTAACTATATATTATACACACCGTAATGGCTTTAAATGCTAGTTTGTAATGTTAGTTCAGCCATTTTATTTTATTTCCTTAAGTGATAATTGTGTGGTTTCGATAAATCCTTGTTGCTATGATGAATGTCACATTTTTGCCGTTTACCCATCAGACCAAATTGGGTTGTTGACACTGACTATCTGAAGCAACTGCACAATTGACTACCCAGTACCCTTTTTGAGATTTCGCCAGCATTTTAGTTTGTCCAACTTTTTTTTTTTTTTTTTTCTTCCCACCAGGATCAAGGATTGCCACTTATGAAACGGTGACCTGAGAATCGCAGATGAATGAAGAGTGGTAACTTTTTTTTTTTTTTTTGGTATATGTTGTAATGGCTTTAAATGAGAGTTCCATATATTTTAGCAGTTCAGCCATGTAATGTTTTTAAGTGCTAATTGTGTGGTTTGGAGGCAAAATGAATGCTTGTTGCTATGATTGTCACATTTTTGCCGTTTACCCATCAGACCAGATTGGGTTGCTGACACTATCTGAAGCAGCCACACAGTTGATTACTCCGTGCCCCATTTAAGATTTCACTAGCATTAAATTTGCCCTGCTTTACCTCCCACTAGGTCCAAAGATTTGTTTTTCCTGTGTGTAATACCTTGATTTATTCCTCAACTGTGCAGGTTGCATAGGTTTGCACAAAATGCAAGATCTGCTTGCGGGATTCTTCCAACATGAGGTCCCTCTGGTGCAAGGAGTCCAGGTCACGGAGGGCACAGGGAAACACTGCATCGGGTGGAAAAACAAGCGCAGAGGCCCCTGGATTCCCAAGACAAACTTTCTCATTCCCGAACTCCGTATTATGCACTGACTGTAACAGGAGCTTGATCCTAACTATAAACTAGTAATGAAGTGGTAAATGGGTTATGATCAAATGTACATATTGAAATAAATTCTCATTGAAACTTTTACTTTTGTATTCATTTGTTCAGACTTTAGAAAGAAATAATTTTGGGGAACTAACCATGTTTTAGGGTGACTGAACTTTCGCACAGCAGAACCGCAATGACTGCATCTTCCTCCAGAACTTGTGTTCTTAAACTGAGTTTAGCATGAGCCTGGGCCAGAGCAATCCTGCTAGAACCAATAAACAATGTAATTTGTGTATGTTTGATAATCTGCATAACCAAATGGGTTTATATAATTCCATTTTTTTTTTTGCTACCAGTTGTTGGCTGAATATTACAGTCTTAAAGACTAGTGTAACTTTAAATAAACTGATATAGTACTGTAAATATTGTTACACAAAGTTTGCTGACAGTCCTTTGGAGACTGGAAGTGCTGAATTGTATATAACTGCTCCATCTAGTGGTATAAGTCGGTGCTTTGCAAAGAAAAGCAGCCATGAGTAGCTGTCAGTATGTTGATTTTGTAGAGCTTACAGCAGTTTGACAGAAGTGACTGAGACCGTGGATCTCTGTCCTGAGTCTGACCGAAGCCTGCGACTGGCCAAGTAATCGCTGTGGATCATCCTTTCAGCCTCAAGACTCGTGTCCACCTTTAGTTCCCTTGCAAGAGCCAAAAGCTGGGAGAAAAGATTCGAGTTTGGGGGAAAAAAGATTTTCATGTAACCGAGACTAACCACATTATGTAAGTTACTTCTCTAAATGTTTCAAACTACTAAAGAAATAGCAGCCCGATTACAGTTGATTGTACACTACTGGTAAAAAGTTTGGAATAAAGCTGTTTTATAAAAGTCTTCATGAAGGCTGTTTATTTGATTAAAATACAGTAAAAACAGGATTATTGTGAAATATTACCATTTAAAAGAGTTGTCACATGATCCTTCAGAGGATCATAAATCAGAATGTGCATCAGAATAATTTTAACAATGAATTTTGACCTGAAGTGTGCATTGACTGACCTCTTTATAGTCTTGTGTGGTAAGCTGCATACATGCTGGATATAGGGGCTCTTCTGGGGGCATGGCCTGTCTCAGGGTATGCATTGTCATAGACAGGAGTCGGTGATTGCTGCTTGTCTCTCGACACTGGACTATGATTCCAAACGACTCTGCAAGCTGAAGAGGAACTGAGCCCATTTCCTGCATTTATATAAAAATCTCAATCACTGTAAGATAAGCAGATGCTGCAAAACCATAACTTCTATACAGAAGCACTGATGTAGTACTATAAAATAACACAAGTCATTGTTTAGACAATTTGGAGTAACTGAGATTTGGTTGCTGACACAAATAAGCACAATGAGGAACTCCTAAAATAGATGACATTGTTTTTGGTTCCTATTCCCAAATACAAAAAGAGGTGGGGTCATCTGTGAAGCAGATCTGCATTCCTTCTACATCTGATCAGTCCTGTGGTGTGTATTTGCTTATAACATTCCCATCTTATTTCCTGAGGAAAAGCTCAATTTGACTATAAATAAGATTGGATATGAACCCACCACAGAACCCAGCACCACATTATCACATCTGGCTGTCCTCTTGGAGGGGAAGCAGCATCAGCTAGGGCCCAAAAGTTGCACAGGACTGGGAAGGAGAGGTGCTGGTCCATATCATCACCATATTTCTTGCCAGGAATGAAAACAGACACGGTTCTGCTTTCGAGAGCTGAGGGGAAAAATAGGTTTGCTTTGCTTGATTGCTTAAAATGCATGATGTATTCTATCTTGTGCCTTCATCTGTGATAGAAATAATTTAAACAACTGGCACCAGACTGAAGCATGTCCATCTTGTCTTTCTTGTAGCATGTGAGATCTCCCAACAGACAGACACCTCCAGATGCCAGCAAAGCTAAACCTGCATGGATGTTGGCGGTACCGGCGCCATGTTCATCTCTAGATAGAGATGCCAACAGCTCTCCTGTAAGCGCATGATGAATGCCACGCGAGGCCAATGGCAGGCTATATCTCATCAACCTGTGAATGAATATGCACATAATATGAATCATATTTTGATGACCATTATCTAAAGAGACGTGCATTTGAAAAACCCAGACCTGTCAATGATTAGAGTGTCACTGGTAAGAGCAAGCATATCCAGGTGGTTGGGAGAGTCTGGGTTATCTTCAGTTTGCACCAAGCTAAGAAGAAGCCCCAGTTTTAATATGTTGTAAAGTCCAGGTGGGATCACCGGAGAACCAAATGAGTTGGCTACAATGGCAGCAAACCTCCATGGGGAACAGGCCGAGGCTGTCTGAAGGTTCTGGAAGTTGTTGCTAACCAGACAGGGGCCTGTGAGCGGCAGTCAGGAGCAAATGACTTTGACATTCTGTGAATATGTATGGTTATATTTATGCCATCAAAGTCAAAACAAGACTTTACATTTGGGGGTCCACGGTCGGATGCTGCAAGCCTCTACGCTCCAGGTAACATTAGGCCACTGGTGTACATGAGCTGGAATCCCCACAACTCGGTACAGATGGCCGATTCTCATGGAGTTACACAGTTCATCTAATTACATTAAGAGAAACAAAACAATGACAGCTGAGAGCTGGTCTTCACTTATTATTTGAGAAACATGTTCACCACCAACACAACTGCCAAGAGAAACACTGCAGGCTCTTTTAAACAATGATTCCACTATGGGTTGTAGCTACTAATGAGTGTACCTTACATTTATTAACATGTATGTTCAGTAACTGGAGCCTAACGTATTGAATTCCAGACTAATACTAGGTCAACACAATATGCTAATAGCATCCAGAGAATCTGTGGTCTCTCCAGTTGGCTAACTGAAAAATATTATTGAAGGAGACAGGAACACCCAATCTAATACTGAAAGACATTGTGCGTGGATGTGTTTCAGCAGTTTATCTATTTGAGAGCTTTGCTTCAACATTATGAAAACCAGGTTAATCAGGCATGATGATTCACAAACTAACTGGATTATTTCATAATGGTTAGTTAACAAGATTATTTGCAATACCATGAGAAAGATAAAGGGGTAATTTAACATACAACAAGCATTTACCTCTTAGAAAAAGGGTGACAGATTACTATCTTAAGGAATCAGCATCACAAACTCCTAAAGCATCCACTGCTCTCACATGAATGAGCTCAACTAGCTGTTTATCTGTGGATTAAAAAGCATTTATTTGAAATATAAATATTTTGTAACATTATAAATGTTGTTAATGTCACTTTTAATCACTGGATTTATTCCTTGCTGGATAAAAGTATTAATTTCTTTATTTTTTTTTTTTTACTAATGTTGTCTCACCCCCTAAAACCTGGGACTTCACATCCTCCTTCAGCGGAGAAGAGCAGAGAAAGCAGGTAAAATCACTCCTAACTGTGGCAGACCCTGTGGCACCTGGTGCATGAACTCTGATATGATGAAACCCTTTGGACAAATTGATAAATTGTGTAGGACAACAATTACAAAAGTAAAGTTAATAACGTTACCTACCTCTAGAAAAAGGGCATTTCTCTTCTGAGCAGAGAAATCTGGCTCCTTGTGTATATTTGGTGACACGTGTCATGGCAATTACAAGGCCCTCCAAAGCTAAGGGTCTCATTGGACCATACCCATGGGGAAACTCAGAGAGATCCATACAATAGTTGTGAAAAGGTGGCAAGTAGTTTGGCTTTAAAACAACATTAACCTATACAGAATAAATATATTCTCACACACACACATGAAAAAAGTGAAATCTGCATTTAATTAAGCTGCTCCTTACCTGGTTTTCTGTTTGTATGTGGTCAATAAGTGACAGTGTTTTTATAGACAGATAACAAACCTGAAAAATAACCACTGCACGCTTAGTTGTTTGTTTAAATACAGATTAGATGTAAATATGTTAAGCACAATAAAATATAGTTTTTTTATTTTACTTTTCCACACATTTCACCAACAGAAAACTGTGGTTGGTAGATCTGATATGTTGAAACCCTTTGGACAAATTGACAAATTGTGTAGGACAACAATTACAAAAACAGCCCATAAAGTTAATAACATTACCTACCTCTAGAGCAAGGGCATTTCTCTTCTGAGCAGAGAAATCTGGCTCCTTGTGTATATTTGGTGACACGTGTCATGGCAATTACAAGGCCCTCCAAAGCTAAGGGTCTCATTGGACCATACCCATGGGGAAACTCAGAGAGATCCATACAATAGTTGTGAAAAGGTGGCAAGTAGTTTGGCTTTAAAACAACATTAACCTATACAGAAAAAAATTTAACTTGTGTTTTTTTCTATTTTAATATACTGATGTGTATCAAAGCAAATTTCAAGTATACCCAAATATATTCTCTCTCTCACACACACATATATGAAAAAATGAAAACAAGTGAAATCTGCAATTAATTAACCTGCACCTTACCTGGTTTTCTGTTTCAATGTGGTCAATAAGTGACAGTGTTTTTATAGACAGATAACAAACCTGAAAAATAACCACTGCACGCTTAGTTGTTTGTTTAAATACAGATTAGATGTAAATATGTTAAGCACAATAAAATATAGCTTTTTTATTTTACTTTTCCACACATTTCACCAACAGAAAACTGTGGTTGGTAGACTAATATACGGTGGCTGAGAGAGCTCAACGCGCTGCAACTTAAGAAAACACATGCAAATTGAAAAAACACCAGCAAATTAAGAAAACATCTTCATCAGTTTGATAACACACCAGCTGCAAATCCTATTGATTTGAAATGATTTTATGAATCTCTCTGCTCATCACTTAATAAGAGTGGGGATTTGCAGCGTTTCTTTATTTGCATGTGTTGTGAGGATTTGCAGTGTTTCTTCATTTGCATGTGTTGTGAGGATTTGCAGCGCGTTTCTTCATTTGCATGTTGTGAGGATTTGCAGCATGTTTCTTCATTTGCATGTGTTGTGAGGATTTGCAGCATGTTTCTTCATTTGCATGTGTTGTGAGGATTTGCAGCGTTTCTTCATTTGCATGTGTTGTGAGGATTTGCAGCGTTTCTTCATTTGCATGTGTTGT